ATATATATATATATATATATATCTGAGGTTTGTCGAGGAGGGTGAATGCCTAGGTATTACATCTACCCTATACCTGATACTAATTCAGTACTGTCGAAAGTGTTGTCTCACAAAAGCCAATTAATCTGAATGTCACGGTAAGGAGGCATCATATGACATACATTCAATGAAAAGCCGAATCGAAAGATATGCACTCTTTGGGCCAGTTGAGTATGGTTGATCGACGAATACTGGGCAGAAGGGACGGACAAAAATTGTGCACATGCAAAGTCATTCGATGAGAAAGATGACAACCATGGGGAATAATCAGCCAGACGGTTCACATTGGAGGGAGTCTGTTGAGTTTCCAAAAAAAGTTCCAGCTGTTTAATGCTCTGCTCGATGTCGTTTACGGAAGCGAAGACAAACTGTGACCCGCCTGGACCAAATACTTGATTGCAGGCCTCCATAAGCTGTCGAGTAAGAAAAAAATCGAATGAAAAAGGAGGTAAAAAGTACATCGATCGTTGTGCGTCTACTCAGTATGACGATACCTAGGGAACATACATGGATCCGGACCTAAATGTACTATCATACAATTCATAGGTTATCTTCCCGAGATTTGAGGAGCAGAAGAAACCTAGCCACAATGTGTGGTGATTTTAGGTTTAGACAAGTGATCACGCACTTTCCATTGTTTCAGAACACCGCCGACCTACTGTGAAGCCGTTTGGACATGTTGAAACACGCACTGACGATATCTCTTCGACTGGCGAGTGAGCCAAATGCCAAGACAAACAACCAATACAGACTGGCTCTAGCAAAAGTGCCGTACAAAAGAGACCATTACAAGTGAGGTACTAATGGCATCAATTATAAGCAATCATGGATGGCGGCAATATACAAGGGGAGGATCGCTCTTTGGTGGTGTCTCTGTTGGCAGCGATTAGCATGTGTAGCGGTAGGAGATGTGGTAAAATTGCCTATGTTGTTGACAGATATAACCTACAAGAAACTTATCCAAGGAGAAATACGGATTCATCTGGTTAGATGGCAACACGCCCTTCAATGGGTTTACTGTAAGAAAGCGATTTGTAGCCTTGAGGTCACTTACAGACTGATGATTCTGAAAAAGTATAGGGTATAGCTCTCAAGACCCTACTCGTCTGTGCGCTGAGTATAAGTCAGAGGACTCCGTATTGTGGTTTAAGACTTTGTTAGAGAAACGGACAGTCATTCTTGGCTAGAAGTGTAGCTCAAGAAATAGCTAAGTCTCGTTTTCCATCGAGGTTGAATTGTAGCAGATGGGGAGGTTGATAGTGTTAGTAATTGTAAAGGGACGCGTGTATTAATGCACAGTTTCCATCAACCCAACGGCCAAGATAACGCAACACAGTCGCGATTGGAACAAGCTGCCGCACGTCACAAGCACGTGATAAACAAAGGTAAATACATACCCGTTCGGAAAGCATGGTTCGATGAGATCCCGAAGCAAGTGATCCGCTTGCAGCTTCCACAATAAACCCTAATGGAGAAAGAGATATCAGTGGGTGTAAGATAGAAGTCACGCACTACGTATAATCCTGCTTTGCTTCACTCCCACAAGAGAATGAAATAAAAAGAAAGACAGTCAGTGCGATGCATTCCCACGCGTCCAAATAAGGCAAACAGGCACCGAATGTACCCAAAAAAGGCATAAAAAATCCGGTTCATGAATACCAACAAAAATGGAGTGGCTGTCAAAAAGAAAACGGTCAGACATGAAAGCAAAATAGAGAGTGCTTCAAATAGTTCTAATTAGAGTCTCCAGCATACAGAATGAATGACCGAAGATCGAACCTGTAGCTCCCATTAGCCAGGTGAGTACGGACTTCACAATGTTTCACCACAACCTTGGTTTATGACCCACCAGCCAATGACTGTCTGCGCCATTATTCAAGCTCACAACTTAACTTGGATCAGACCTTCGGGTATCTGAAAGATGTCAACGTCTGCTCCAATGTGGAACTCGTACAAGAGGTTTACTAATGACTCTGACATACACTAACCGTAGATCCAGTATACAAACTCATGTGGAGTCCAAGTGTATATATACGATGCGGGTAAGCGCACGTAATGGATCAACTGGCGTTCCTCATCTCGTTTGTCATATGTACTTGCGCTACTTCTTAAGAGTATTGAGCACAGGTCTTGGTTCGAAATGCACCATACACCAGTTAGTAAAATTTGGGTTGGAGCAGGTTAGTAGGTTGATGGAAACTCGGAGATTGTGCTTACCTGATAAGCCCCAAGAAAAGCGGAGCCGGTCAAGGGATATCTTAACAAGAATCACAACTGACAAATAGATGGCATGGCGATGAAACCACTTGACCGCTTTTAACTGAGAATGAAAAATTACGTCCGTCTGTACAAAAAAACGCACATCTATCGTTGGTGATAATTTCGTCGAATTGGACCACGGTTTACATGCTAGACACTAGAATATATGAATCAAAGCCACGCAGACATTAAATTCACGCTTGATGTCCAAGGAACAAGGAGCGATCACTCATCAGATCGATATTCCATATGGCAATCTAGAGAGAAAAATGTTCTCATTTGAAAAGCTTCTTCGAAGTACCGTATGAAAGAGCCTTTGCAGAAGGTACGTTTACCAGAGCAAGAGAAATTCGTTCTGACGAAGCATTAGAAAGGGACCTTGAAAAAGATATTAGCCGTATCGCAGAATAAAGGCTATCCCAGCAGCGTGACCCAGACTTATGGGCTGTTGGACAGAAAGCGCAGCGAGAAACTCTTCATAAATATCAGTTTGCATCAAGGAAAGTGTAAAAGGGACCAGAAGGATAGACGGGTCCGGCAGTGACTGAGTCAAGCTCTACTACGCGTGTTTAACGCTGCGACTATAGTAGCGCTCAACAAAACACAATGAACGGTGATACAAACAAACCTAAACAAACTAGGCTCTTTAATCACCGCTTTTCCAGTGGAATTGCGGCAGTCAATAGGCCGAACCAAGAGACAAGGATTGATGAGGACAGCCCGAACAACTTTGAACTTAATAGCTTGAAAATTCCATTCACTGAAATCGCTCGCAACCTGCGTGTTTGGAACAAATGCAAAGAGCCATGACGGTGATTCCATGAATTGGCAGAAAAACAGCTGCGCTTTACGATTCGCCGATATGGCAGCAAGTGCACGCTATAAATTCATTCATTTTAAACAACCAAAATTTGTAATTAGTCTTGTAATCCCTTGGTTTAGCTGGTACTGGTCTACAGCCCTAGTTCTGTTATCCAACCGGACTCACGGTGTGTGTGTGTGTGTGTGAGAGAGAGAGAGAGAGAGAGAGGGAAAGACGTCACGATCTAATGGGCCCAAATGGGAGCGAAGCAAACAGTGGACTGTCCTATGGTTTTCATCAACTTCATTGATAGTGTCGTATCAAGGAACTTAACCCAAAGTGTTTAAAATTTACCACCAAGCCAAAAACGACTGACCTTCTGGAGACAGTTCACAAGTAGTCGACCTTCTGAATGAACGTAGCAATAGGTTTGTGTAATCTCGAACCAGGGCAAGCCGTGCAGCGCTGTTTGGTTCCGAGTTGCTCAGAGTTCGTTTCGCTCGAGAAGCAAGCCAATCCTGGAAAACAGAGCAAGTGTATGTTGTGTAATTCAACGTGCAGTGTGCTCAGGGTTTGAATTCTGAAAACCGCCCTGTTGTTTTAAAGATTTACTCACAAGAATTGTTGTGTGTAAGTTTGAGAGCCGAAAAGAAAACCGTGAAGTGGAAGTCACTCAGAGTTGATGTTTTGAAAATGCGCATAACACCGGGAGACTTTGCGAGCTGAAAACGGCCTAACAATGAGCTCTGCGTTATCTCAGACGATAAACCGTGATTTACAGTCAGTGGCGAGGCTCGGACAATCAAGTGGAAAAGACCACGGAGAATTACTTGGACGACCCTGGTTTAATGTGCAATATCTGCAAATACCTTTCCTCCAGTGATAAAGGCATAGAAGGCCACTGAACTATTATCACGTTGGGTCCATTCGTACTGACTTGAAGTTGAGTGCACACAGTGGATCAACTGTTCAAGAATCCAAAAGGAGTTCAGAAATCTCTCCTGGTCTCGGCATTTTGGAAAAAAGCAAACGCTCACATTAAGTAGTTGACACGCTCCTCGAATACTGGTAATAGACTGTTTGGACGGACTTTTGAGAATAAAACTCACTTTCAGAACTAATTTCGGTTCTTCCAAAAAAGACAGCTCCTCCACGAAGCGCGCGTAAACTTGTGACTCTGACAGCAACCGGAAGAGTCTACAGAACAACCGAAAACGAACAAGAAAAGAGGAAAACTTTTCAGGAATAGTATCATACATTCAGTATACACTCTATAAAAAAGCATACGACCATGGTTTAGGTTGAACCCACCTGATCAATCAGCCAACGCAGGGGGAACTGAAAGAGTGGGGACGCAACAAGCCCCTAGTCAGTCAAAAGATCACGTGAACGCCTCTGTGTGATTGCTTTTCAAAGGATACCAGGTAAGCGGTAACAACGTATTTCGCTCCGCTATTCATCAGCATTCATAGCTTGACACCGCATCTGTTACTTCTGTTGAGCATATATGCATGTGTCTGGGTGCGGTTTTTCGAAGACATCAACCGCTCATCAGTGTCAATGGAATGATGTGATATGTGCTTCTATATAATCTACAGTGAGAACGCCGGGTATGAGGCGACGGGATCCATAGTTTTCTCGTTACTATGTTGAGCCCGTGGTTAAGGCGTGAACTTACTGACCGGAAGGTCTATCGTTCGAATCCAGCTCCGGCATCTTGACTGCTCTTGTCCAAACCGGGAACACTTTGTTACACTTTAAGTAGCCAATCACGTCAGAAGATAACAGATAGCCTTCGAATGCTATATAAACGCACGCAGGCAAGGAAGAAGTACCCACTCAACTGCGCACTGATGATGTCTCCTCGTATGGTGACGAAACGCTTGCAAGCCAATTGCCAAGCTCGGCGAACAGATCAACAGCCACCTGATCAACAACCAATAAGCACCCCAACCCTTGTGCTTCCTTCGGGTGGCATGACAGATAGGCACTGATTACCATTACTATTTGTATGATTACATTACATTACGTTACCTTCAAAATTCGCGTTCAACATGAGGTAAAATCTTAAGCGCATGCCTTGGTAATTCCCAAGTCTTACATGAGGATCGACGACCAATTAGACACATTTTTCTGGCCACTGACAAGTGTTCTGACTATTGAAGTGGTCAACCAAACCAAATTGGTTTGCAAATGAGTGTAATTCGCTAATTTCGTGCAAATTGGGCTCAAGCGGAACATAACATTGACGGAAAATCGAGCGATTCGCCTACCTGGTAGGCCCCAAGAAGGGCGAAACCGGTCGTGGGCTGTTGAAGAATTTTCAGCAACCTTATGAGTATTGCATTGGTTAACAACTTGTTCGAACAAGAACTACACCTAGGGCGTATGTTTCCTGGACAGTCAACACTAATCTCTCAGTTTAAGCATGAATAGATCCGACCCAGCAGAGCACATAGACGACAACTGTTGTCGATATTGACAGCCTACAGGACTGTGCGCCAGTTGGTTGGCAAACACGAATCAGTTTTACTGCTCTGCGGGGACGTCGGTCTTCCAAAGTTCTGAGGCCTTTCAGGCAAACGTAACAAGTTCAAGGGGAACCGAAATCGCGTTGCTCATTACAAGCATGCAATCAAACTAAGCGAGGAGCAGCGACGGCCCCCAGCCATAAACAGTGTGTCAGTTTTCGTCAGATGGTTTAAAACCGTCTAGACTACAAATAATGGTAACTCGGTATCTTAAAAATTAGTGGTTATTATTCATCCTTTTATTTTCGAAGATACAGTTATTGTAGCTTTGGCTGGCACAAATTCCGACTTTCAAAACTCCGCTTAACAATGGAATTCTATCATTTCCATCCTAAACATGCCGAGGCAAGCCGATATGCGTTGAGCACATCAACAGAGATGAGTACCCTAACAGTTCTTTGTTGTAACACGGATCAACGCCATGTTTTGTTCCAGCTATGGCTCAGGAGTGGCGGCTGCGACGTACGGCATAAACCAAGCAGACAGCATGCGATGACCTTGTTCAGCTGCGCACAAGCACTTTTATCTTCATTCGAATGAGACAGGAGACAGGTTCGGTGAAAAAAAAAAACGGATGTCAAGCAGAGGGCTAGGACGATTGGACCATACGGTACCGAATAACGGTATTGCTCGCGTGGGAAGTCTATTTGCCATGCTCTGTTGAGTACCGAAATCAACCATTCCTACAAATTCGCATATTGTCATCATTGGTCGCAAACCAGTCTGTGGTAAGCTTTCTCACTGACATCAGTATGGCATGAGGATAGCCCAGCCGTCCGAATCATCAAAACAACACTGTGGAAAACCCAGAATCAGTGATCGATAGTTCGCTTCCATGAGGACACAGAAGTTGTAAATTTCCCATAGACGCATTCCACGGTTTTGAAAACCCGTCCATTCAAAATCAAGTCCGGCAAAAGATTGGTAACTTGGTCCTAGGTCTAGCCGTTTTTCAACAGATTCTGTGTCACCTTTGTACAGTAAAACATTGTGACGTGAGGTGACGTACAGAGTAGTGCGAAGTTCTGTGGATTCATCGCATCTGATTTTACAGCCAGTGTACCAACATGACACTGGACGAATGGGGCACAGCCAGCCAAAACTGCTTGGGTGTCACATCAATCTCCACCGTTACGGTATCACCTTGGTTCCGTTCGGCTGCAGCAGCTTTCGACTCCTAGGGCATACTACATAGCCTAGGACCTGGAGTGAAGGCTACTTATGGAAAGAAACATTTCTTATTGGAGATGAATTAGCCATATAGGATTAGTTGCGTAACATTTTCAGCCAAAACACAAACAGTGAGGGAAACATACGTGCGACGAGGAATGTCCTCCTATTCCCTTCACAGCTCTATTCATCTGTACACCTCCGAGTGCCCTTTATAAAGTAAAAAATCCTGTATAAAACTCAGATTTTGCTGCATGTTCAGTACACTTCTCAAAACAACAAACGTTCATGCCTGATTGTCAGTCAATAAAGCATAACCGTACCCAAAGTTCTAGTATCTTTTTTTGTCGCGTAACAAACGATCTAAATGATGGCAATGGTAGCTTGAAGGAGTTCCTCAGTGTATAAACGTTTTTTTCGCTGTTTTGCCTTGGAACCTCATTTCCTCAAATGTGCTTCATTTCAAGTGTTGTTGAGACTCAATTTCGATAAAACACGGCTTGCGATTCCACAAGACTAGGTACAAACATGAATGATGTTTGAATGAATGAAACTAACCGGTGAACAGTTGGTCTAGCTGCATCGTTAATAGACTGAACATTGAAACCAGGACTGCCAGCAAGTTCATCCGTACTCGACCAGTGGTCGTCCAGGAGGGCAGATGTCTTTACCAAGAATGGAGGAAGCATTATTTGCGGGTAGTCTACAGCAACCCGGTCGATTATTTGATTCACCAGCACCGGCTCTGAAGTGGCAGTTGCGAAAAGCCCGGTGACAAGCAAGTCCAGCCACTGCGTAAACATCCAGGTGGGCAGTTTAGCAGTCTTGGGATGAAGATTAAAAGTAACTGTGTGATTCAAGAGATTAATGGATTGCGCGAAAATGGCTGGTTGCAGAAAACTTCCTTGAGTGTAACTCATCAGGTGGATTTAACAGGATTCGATCACCAGATGTTTAGGCTCAAAGTTTAAACAATGGAACCTGACACGAAATCGCTGCCAACGTATAAGTATTTCAGTGGCTTACTTGGTTTGGCATATGCACCGAACTTCATCCAGAACGGTCCGTAACACTCGGCGATCCCTGTGGAGCTCCTGATAATTACCAAATACTTTGCATTTATAATATCTAAGCGTCCAAGGTCACTACATGATGATGACCGGACCCTGAACATGAAGAGATAGTGTGGTATCTGGCTACTTACGAGTAGTTAGGTTTTAAACGGATTTTAATGCACGTGTCAAACGCAGTAAAACACGACAAAGCGACTACTCATACCAATGGAACGGATACAGTATAACGTTCCATACGAACAGCACGTGCCCCGTTGACCAGCTGAAAATGCGCTTATCTTGGATGCATTTTTATTGGGAGGTGTTTAACTAAATTGTTGGAAATAAAACAGTATTGTCTAATACAAAGAATGCTAGTAATTCAGGTTGCCTACTTAGTGTTCGGTTGTTCGCCTACGGAATATTGTTTGTATCATCAGCTGTTTTCTTCACGCTATTGCTGTTGCTGGAAAAGACAGCATATAGGTACAAAAAAGAAATAAGAGATGAGAAAGGCTTTCAGCTTGTGTTATAGATTGGTTCGGCAAGATACCCACGGGCAGACTGCCCTTCAAATTTCGGTTCTGTAAGATTTTCCAGCCTTTTCATGCGGTTCACCCCACCATACGGCACATTATTTAGGAACGGTTATTATACCCAACTACAAAGCTTATGAAATCTAGAATTTGGGGGGGGGGGAAGCTTATCTCTCCAAGTGAGTTAGTAGTCTTCTGCCGCCTTGAAGAAAGTCCGACGAATTGGCACGACTTTCCGTAATTCAACCCAGTTTTTACCCCATGAACCTTGCCAATTTTGTTGCCGCAATTTTCGGCAGATAGTAACGCCCCTGAATGCAATGGGTTATGCTGTTCCTGCCCCCTATCGTCACATGCCAAAACAGATCGTACTGGAAAGTGAGCTTCAGTGTTGGTGCAGGGGAGCCGATTGTTGACCGAATAACGAGTCTCCAGGAAGCATACGTATACTCAGATTTCATTCGTCCTAGGCAGCTGCCGTGGTAGATCGAATCATAGTATGATACACGTGTAAAAGGTAGTTTTCGTCCTGACTAACCCGGTAGTACTGGAAGCACTTCTCGTGGGAAACCGCTAATAACTCCGATAGAGCAAACAAATTTAGGGAACAGATTATTCCGGCCACTCTTTTTGGACGCTCCCAGAAGTGACCGAAAGCGCATTCAACCAAAACAAATTCAGAAACACGCACCTAATCACCTAACCCAGTCACCCATACTCAACTTTCAGTTGAAATGCTTATATGTTGATGTCTGCAATAGTGGTATTGTGACTATAGGCGCAAATCAAGAACAGAGATTTTGGACAGCAATATGAAATTGCCACATGAATCACACTGTTTGAAAGCGAGTCACATAGTTAATGTGGCTGTATACGCCCGACCAGATTTTGAGAGCTCATTGGGATTGGAAGGGAGCTTGGATGTTTCAGAAGTCCTGAAGTTGGTGAGAAGGTGACCTAATGGACTTGCGGGGAGATAGCTTTAATGGAAAAAATGAATTGGTCGCCCTTCATGGAAGGCCACGGATACATTCAAACCACGCATTTCTCCCTGTTGTTTGAAACGATCGGGTTTTTCTGTTGCAGATGCCATCCTCAAAGTTATTCCCACGTTTCCTTACGGTAATTGTACCCGTTCTATGGGTTAATCAGCCTACTTTCCTGACGTAAATTTCCGAGTTCCAATACAATCGATTACCGATGTGTTTATTGATGAACAAACACGATGAGGCTGATCCCGCAGAAATTCGAAGATATGCTTAGTATGTGAGTTTGACAATACTCAGTTTGGCAGGACCCAAAGAGGGTTTCTCATCGTTCCTATGTTTGACCAAGGAGATAGGAGAAACGTCGCACAAAGGGGACGCTGGAGTCACTAGCATTGACAAAGAAACGCCAAAAGTAAACCACACGTGGCGACCCAGTTACGGAATCCCCTCGAAAATGGGAACACCACATTCACGAGTGACTTATGGCTTCAGGAGCACGTGATTAGTTCATGCTAGCAACAAGGTGCTTGGAGTTTTAAGCAGGATGACAGACTGACAGCATTATATTATGAAATAACTCCAACAGAAGACAGCCGTGGTTATTATGTTTATGGTGAAACGGCGGTGTGTAGGCTATTAAACTGACAAATTGCTTAACCAATCCGGTGTCCTTTTGACAAGCTTACAACCTGGGTAAATCACACTGACAATCGATGAGTGGGGACCTCGTTCACAGCACCGGTAGCCACAGCAATACGCTACGAAACGGGCACAAGTTACAACCCACGGATAGAGACATTCCTCAGATTTTCGCATGCTTCAAGTGCTCTCGTCGCTTAGCTTCTACGTGATAACCACACACGACTGCCATAACAATTCCCACAAATATTGGGTCAATCTGTCGAAATCAACATGCCTTCTGGTCATCAAACTGCTGTTGTTTCAGAGTATAATCGGAATCCTTGGTCTCCTTGAAACGAATCCTGATGAACAGCACACGCAACGTCCCACATGTCCCCATTACAGCCGAAACACCTATGGTCGAAGAAATTATGACAGATGTATGGTTCATTTCATAGGTTTGCTTACATTCATATGGTTGCACTGTCGTAAAACGTAAAACGGTTGAGCTAGACCAGCTATAAATTCAATGGTATACAAAAAGGACCAAACGAATTCGACCAAATTCGACCTCATTGGAGACACTTACGCCAGAAATAAATAGACTTTGGATACTTGATCCAGGATCATTGTCTATGGAAGCAAGCTGCAGAGCTCGAGGGAAACGAAGATGCCCAGCACGATGATTTAATTGCATTGAACACAATGTGGCTTCGATGAATGAATAACATAAGGCGCTAGTCGACAATTGTTCGGAATCAGTTTTCATCGCTTTCTGGATCGATGGGGAAGCTGCGAATGCAAGGAAAGGACAAGTTGCAACCGACGCAAATGTGAAAAGGTGGACATGCGAACCACACAAATTGTACAAACTGGAAAGACATATGCATGAGTAAAAAAGTAAACTAGATACGAGTGGTATACTATGAAAGCGAATTGGCAAAAAAAAATAACAGGATAGCCAGAACAGGGAATGGAGATGCAAGGGTGAAAGAAAACTCTCAATTTTAAAAACTAAACAGACCTGAAATGAGCTTCCGATCACAGAAGTCAGCTAACACGATCATTGGTTCGGATAACTGCTGAATGAGGGAGGGCGTCATTTTGCTCGTCTCAAATTTCAAAGCCATTGCCATTCGGGTAGCTTGGGAAGACAGGGACAGTGTATATGAGCTAAGGCGTGCAGACAATGTAGAAGACGAAGATGTGTCGCAGCCATACGAAGAAAACGGAGGCGTTCCAAGTTGGCGGAGCAGTAGGTTTAGGCGATCCGAGGCCTGTGGTGACAATTGGCCATCATCGGCCGGTAGATCCACTAGAAGAGACAGTCGTGACAACAGGCGCCCAACTTTGGTGAAAAACGTAAATGGCGCCATATCCGCATGGCTTCCGGATGAGTAGTCAGTAAGTAGGTGAGGTCGATTCGTGGAACAGTTAACTGTAGGGTTGTTGGGAAAAAATGTCAGAAAATCACCAGTTGTTTTGTTGCCTGTCAGAAAAGGAACGGCTGTGTTATTCGAACTACAGTAACCTCCGCAGCTAGCGGATCCGGTCAGAAACGGATAACACCGTTCATCCTTTAGGAGCGACTAATTTTTACCCCATCACTAAAGTATCTTCTTCTTCTTGACTTCTATGAGAACACACGATATCTCGAATGATTGTGACAGAGCCCAAGGGACTTTTGTTTTGAACGGATACACTAATTTACGGGGGCGATGGAGGTCAAATGCCGTAACACTATTACATGACTAAAGCAAGTCAACTTAACAATAGACTAGAAACTGGATGCTTTGAGGATTTTAGCAGCCAACATTTTTTAATTGAGGAGCTGCGTAGGATGGAACCAAAGTCAACTTACTCAATGGCTTATGTTTTGGAATTGGATGATAGTTTCAGGCCCATAACTAGTCTCGACAACAAACGATGAGGAACAACCTCGTTTACGACGCTTCTTCCAATGTCTATGACTCGGTTGCGGATACGCACACGCATTTATTCGACGAATTCAATCGAGTTAGTAGCATGTTTTTTCCTGTTGAATAGCCCGGAATACATCACAGAAAATTGGTTTAGGTTGCACAAAGGCTGAGGTTTACTTATTGGTTGGATGCGTACTTATTGCTTAGATTCGACCAGATATGCTATGATTGCAGGTGTACCACCAATTCTTCAAAGGGATGATATGAGCTGCGTTCATGAACCCTTTCAAATAGTTGCATTTTTATCCTGTCCACATGAAATTGCGCGTGATACTATAGATGAAATAGCACAGCGAGGAGGAGGATACTGGGGACCCTAGTGCCATTTGGTTGGTGAACCACAAAAGACCCAGAGACATGCTTGGCACGGAGTTCTCGGTATCCCTTACAACATGAGGAAGAGAACATATCAGTGAGAGTCCTCCAAGATTGAGTCCTGTTCGACAAACAGAATAAAGCCAGGTTTTATTGACTTTATTTGGCGATTCGTTAGTTTAGAATAGCTACTCGGTTTGACGTAACACGGGGACAGCAAGTATGCGTGATTTAAAAGAATGTAGGGACAAACGATCGAGTGTTAATTCGGGTATCATACCATTCCGCGTACGGTTGTAAAAGAAACTGATGCACGTTGTTCCTCGCACAAAAGCAATTATTAAAGCGACCTGGAATGCAGGTGGAAAAACTTCTTGGAAAATAATTCCCAACCAAATAATCAGCCAGGACGACCTAGGCGGTAACATATTTCACCGAGAGCGAAGACATAGCTGATCATGTTGTCTGCCTCTCTGACGCACCACTTTGTGTGGTCCATACCTCTTAGGGTGGTCAGATGATCACGACCTAAGGCAATTAGTTACTTCTTCCCTCGTGTGATTTGCTTCCCAGGAAGGCATCTGTGTAAGTACGAGATTTAGTTCGAAACGCTTACCTCAAAGAAGCTCAGCTCCTTTCCGACTGGTTGTATTTTGTGGCATAACAGGACATTTGACTGGCCAGAAAACACACTGGGCATCAAAAGCTTGGGAAAAGATCCTCCTTGCTTTTACGAACAGAAACTACACGGCGTGAACACAAATTTGGGGTTCATTCACGGATCTTCGTGATAAACAACATATTAGCACTGGTTTTTAGCGCACAGACATGCAAAAATGAGTACAGAATGCTACTCTGATGGAGAATGAAAGAGCGGAGGTGCCATAACGTAAGCATTCGCTAGTCCTTCGATGGCACAGTCTTCAGTGATTTTCACGGAACAACACCTAAGGTCCTGACCGCAGTTTGACATAGTTGAAATGCTACCTGACTGGATGTTACGTACCTAGGTGCAATCCAGCGTTAGCCAATCCTTTCACAAGATCTTCGATTGCACACACTTGCCGCAGAGTAGACTGAGATTCGACTGACTTTGTGGGTAGCCGGGCATTGACAGTTACTGCATTGTCGGACCAAACGACCCATGCATCGGCAAACGCTTCACACCAGCGCAACCACAAATCGTCCTTTGGATGAGAATATCCACCGAGTAATTCGACCGCATTGCCACGCTGAGCCAACATACGAATGTTCTTCAGGTGATTCAGCGCCAGAACCGGGTCATTTTGTGTGATACAAGCATTTACCTCCGCCATTCGAAGAGAAAAGATCGTCCTGTCCAAAAAGTGCGGATTTACGGCTTCCCCCCGTTCACCAAGTGCTGACGATGCCCCACTGGGTGGACCACACTTTGTACTCATGATTGTTAGGTAGAACAGACTGCAACGGAAAAATTGCAAACCAGAAAAGTTTCCATGCTTCCAGAAACCGAAAGGTGCCATGTGGTATAAAATTCGGATTAGATTTTAGGTCACAATGGTTTGCTGCTACTCGACCATGAAAGAGATGACAGCTAGGTCTGGGCGCTTGATGTGATCAGACCCTCAAACTGAAGCAATTTGCTCAAAGCTGACGTGAAAATAAACGAGCAGTGTTATGCTTTACTCATTTCACCACTCCGCTCCCACCCTACCCCGCTCCTTGGAGAACAAGCACATGACTTAATTTTTTTTCATCACCTGAAAACTATCCAACGTGAAATTTTGAGTTGACAGTGTCTGGTTGTTTGCTTAAACCTATGCAGAGTTCCGCAAAGCGCAGTACAACCTAGCACAGCCTGACGAACAGGAAATAAACAGACATTCGTTTTTAATACTCTTTAACTAAGACCTTATGACTCCGTAATTAAGAAAATCTGCTCTATTTTAGAGCCGAGTAGAGATCAACGAGTCCGCAAAGCACCGAGTGAAAGTCAGAAAGTGTAAATAAAAAGAAACGCAGCAAAGATGTACGAGAGTAGCCCACAATCACTGTACGACAGTGTGGCGCGGAAACAATTTTTTTTACATTTACTGAATGCACCGAGGGTTTAATGTTTTTTGGTGATATAGTAATGGCGCCGTCTCCGCTTGATCCATTGTTGCACTTCCTGAGATGGCACTTCCTGTTCTACATACTGTGAATTCCTCTTGATCTGTATGCGATACGATGTTACTTGGTGTACTGTAGGCGACGATATTGCAGAAGGATTTTTAGTGGTTCAAGACAGTTCTATATCGGTATCCTTGGGCAGAAACCTCACAACCGAAAATCAGGGAGATGAACAGAGTTCATTAGTTAGGTGTTATGGATCCAGGCAGCTTTATGATACTTTTTATATGATTTTTTAACACTTCTTCATAGATAAACGGCAACGAATTATCTTTCAGTGCCCTATGGCAGAAATCAACTGTGATTTCTCCGTCTGGTTCGAACTAATCACATTTATCCAACAAGAAATAGAATCCCAGATTATGACAATAGCAAATCAAGCTATCTATGGTGTTTTTGATCACCGCTGAACACTAGTTTCCTCTGTCGGTAGATCTGTGTTTCACTTAGTTTCTAGTTGTCCAAGAAGGCCTTCTTATGTTTACGTGTTCCAAACGCGAAGAACCCCGAGGCACTTGTTGATCACATCTGGAGTGCAAATCCAAAGTGGAGATCTGTTGCATATACGGAGTATTTGATATCTGCTTACTTATGACTCTCAGCAACTCCATTTTCGAAATGCCGCGGTAATCTCCTGCATTTATTGTAAATATCCTACCTGAATAAATTGACTGCTGGGTATATCAGGATCCCCATACGCACTTTTAGTTTCCCTACCTGATAGCGATAACAAGGATTGCAGGCTAAACTTCAGTGGGGTCTAATAAACTGTTATTTTGGCCGTAATGGGAGTTGGGTTTATCAGTGAGTGCTAATCCAGGCCTCTAACAATACACTTATGACCTTGCAACACTGTTGAGGATGTCGAATGCAGATAGGCGACAAGTGCCGCTCGGGTCAATCAGGAGGCTTTATTGGTGTTGCGCACTCAGCACGCAATATGATTTTTTGGTGTGTACAAAAAAGTCCCAAGTTTGACTACAGTGGAGAGAACTGGAAAATACATTCGTACCATCCCACATAATGAATAAGCTTAGTCAGTTCCCAATAAATTCCTTATCAATCAGCAGATTTCTCTGAGCTTCTGAAACTCAATTAATTACTGTCATGTAAGAAGATTCTCACACTAGGGGAGGGAACTGTGTGATTTGAGCTTGTTCAGGGGAAGGGGGAAGATGAAGCCACGCTGGACCAGTCATACTCGGAAAAATTAATGTGCTATGCTAGCAAGTTTGCACTAGAAAAGTACTGGTTTGTTAGTGTGTGGCGTGAACCGAGAGCTGACTTGAGTCAAAACGACCCGAGGTGATACAGAAGAGACTATTTTCCTACATACATCTGCCACCAAACAAACTGCTCAATTTTCTTTCCGTAAAGTCAGTTACCCATATTGGTGCATTCATGGGGATCACACATAGGACCCCGTTGGTACACAGTTCAACCGTATGAAACCATCCGAGGGGACTGCCGACGAGGATTGTTCATCTTCACGACTATGCAACTGAACCTTCAAACTGATTGGTCCATCCTGTCGTTCGGCGAGCCCCAGAAACTCAGAAAATACCATATGACTCTTTTACTGACAGACTATTCTTCGATGGTGTATTTAGGACGACCGATTTACGAACAGTGTGTGCACTTCCAACGCGACATGGATGGTTTTGGAGCAGCTACATCCTGGATGCAACTGGAAACGTGCGTGTTGAAGGCTCAGTGATGTTCGAATTCTCTGCTAGTCTACGGCGATGGCATCCAACTCACCACGCACTGACGACGTTTCCAGACATGGTGAGGACGCGTTTACAAGCCATTTGCCAAGTTTGGCGAACAGATAGACTACTACCTGATCAACTGAATTCTTTTAGTGCAATTTGCATGTGTGATCAAGACTGGACTTTGTCTCTGAAAACTTTCTTCTCTGTTTCCAGAAATGATAACAAAAAGCATGCACCTAATTCCCCCTGACCCTAAGTTGTTGAATATAATATGCGAAGAATACCGTCCGATTTATATACTGTAGTTGTTTTCCCTTGAAGCCTCATAGGTATCTAGGAGTCACGCCTTCACGGGGTTGCGCTAGTCTAACACCTATTCCACGTGCAAAATAAGTGAATGAGACTGCACTCAACGGACGGACATGTGAAGCTGAACCAATGAGAAAAATAGGACATACCGGTTAAGAATTATGTCGTTCCAAGCAGAGAGGGGGTCCAGAGAGGGATGCGGTGGGCGGTTGTGCCATGTGTCGACAATGCTCTGGATCTTGTTAAAGCTAATATCTGGAGTAGAGTGAAACGCGGTTACCTTTCGAAACATGTGTGAGAAAGAAGCTCATGTTAGGAGACCATTTATTCATAGAATGCTTGTCAAAAGAAACGCACCCCCTGGCTAACGTAACACCTCTGAACCCAGGCAGATGTGAAGCCATCGATTTCGATACACTACGCACTTTTCCTAGCGTTTTGATTTTCCAAGTGATCCGTGAACAACAGCTAACCCGCGAAGCAGTTCAGGCATCATAGAATAACAAGACTGCATTGTGCGGCTGAATGACAGGCAGATGCAGACAAACGGTGGTGTGAATGAGGAAACTATGAGTGCAATGTCTGGAAGCCATACATCTGCACTTTGTGTGGATCATGCAGGCTATGTTTAGTGTATTCTCAATGCTGTAAGAGGGTTCTGCTAAGCAAAGCATGCTCAGGCGATGGAGAAGATCCAGCAAGACGACGCGATATGCACTAAACACAAACTGGCGAGCGAAAGCAAACAGCCAACCTTCATAAATCGTAACCGTTTTCTAATGCAGAATTCAATGGCATAGGTGGTGTCCGAATCCGTAAGTCACTTAATGTCCGAAGACATCGAATCTTCCTAGCATCCTCCGCCAGACTGTTTGCTGATGCAAAGTGCGGACTAACTGTGTACATAATAAGTAAATGTGATTGCCAGGTGAGGACTACCACTTATGGTACCTGTTAATTCAAGCAATCGATGGTCCAGGTGATAGTGCTTTGTCGGTAACTTCTCATGTGACTTTTCTACCACCTGGTTCTTCGTTGTCTGTAACAAACTGACATCGGGCAACTAAAACTCATCAAAAATCAATAGGTAAATTGTGGTCCGTGAAGCTTAACGTAGCATCACCAGTTGTAGCGTGAAGTGGTAGACTACGTTCGATTGATGAACTAGCAGTGCCTGGTCCTCACGTTTTCACTCGTCTCTACCTAGCGCTTTGTCATACACCTTAGGTTCGCACTGCAAATCACTCAACACGCCTTCTGTATGCACCGTTGTCTGCACTCTCTTTGACCTAGTGGACTGGCCAAGAAGAAGCGCGGTAACCACATCGGTGCGGCGCATACACCAGAGCTCGCAACACCATATGAATGAACGGTTTCACATGCCGGTCAAGTAAGAGGGTTGTTTCACTGGACAAACGATGTACTAAAAAATTCGATTTTATTGTTAGCGCTAGATCGTTCAACCTCAGATGCATACAGCACGAAGGCATGGCTGCGTGGTCATGTGAGACTGAAGAATAGCCCAACACATTACCATGACTGTGAATAACACTGGTCGGCGATTGGCTAACGCATCATTTGCGCGGAGACCTAAGGTATTTCGATGAAACATAATGTCCATGATCAACTGAATTGTTGGACGAACTAAAAATGTGGGATACCCGACAGAGTTGCAACAAGCATCTACAAGACATAAAGCAAGTAGTATATAATTTTATGACCTTTTGGAAAAACAAGGTACAGTGTCGGTCGCAAATGTTTTACGAGCAGGGCATCACAAAAGGTTAGCTATCCAGCATGTGAGTCACGAAACGAGTAAGTAAAAGAATAATCTGGACGTGAATCGCGAACCGCTTCCAGCAAGTGCCTGACAATCGGGGATGCACTTGACTGGTTAGTCTTAGCTCTAGTTGACTAAGTCGTTGAATCAATCGCCTCGGGAAACGTTCATTTGTGTATCCGGATACACATTGTACTGTTCTACTGGTTCAGGAGTAACTTTAGCTATGATAACCAACAACTGGTTAAACAGTAAAAGGTACTGTCATCATGACATTTGGCCTTGGGGAACAGCACATTTATTTTGAGGACTAGCTGACTGCTACAGGTTCGGGGAAAATATGTGCAAACCGTGCTTACGCGAACTGCCAGTGAAAAGCGAAAGACGTGTATGCATATACCTTCAACCATTGATATGTTGGCTGAGCTGGACTTGGTTGCAAGCGGTTAATTGCATGCAGTTGAAGTGTCCAGCCCAACGAGCAAATTAACGATCATTACACATCAGTTGCAAATACTTACCTTTGTTCAACATGTTATTCAGGAATTCACTGAGTTCAGTTAGCGTTTGAGCACGGGCAGATTTTCCTACGGATCGAAATGGATCGCATGCTATGCTTTCACGCCAGTCCTGTGAACAACAAGTGAACCGCAACTGCATTGATATCGTCGAACTGCTGCACGGCAGCAAGAAAATGTATGGCATTTATTTGGAAAGAAGAAGAACCGAGTACAGTAAGACCGATTGATTATCATACGTTGTGGTTTACAATACAAACTTCATTGGACTGTTGCAAACGAATATTTGTCTGACCTTAGTGAGTTTTGAGTGATCAACGTTAAATGCTGGGTGTATTCTGGGAGAACGTTAGCCCACAACGAAGACTAGATGACAGCAGTTACGGGCAGACCAACTTTACGTTACAAAACCAGATCCTTGTCTGGTTACCTGGATGCTCTTTTCCTAATCTGGGGGATCATAATACAGGCGTTTAATCACTGTGTCGCATACGGACGTGAAATAGTGTGTACTAAACAGTGGGCTTTGGAGTATTCAAGTCCACTGCCTTTACAGCGACTGTTCAGTAGCACATACCACAGATCACAAAGAACCAATGTGTGCTAATTAGATGGGAGTTCTATCAAATTTCAGGCCCCTGAAGAGACCGCTCCACTAGAGCCTGAGAATGGTTGCATCTTAACGATAATATGAGAGCAGCATCACTTGGGAAAAAATGAAAACCCATCGAGCCAATTCGTCAGGTTTCAGAACAGCATTAAAAGCAGACCAAACCAAAATCGGATGATCAAATCGACCTATGATAAGTAAGTAAGCGTCATGTAGGTACCGATACACATGATGAAAATGAGTCTACAAACGTCATCAAGGTTACACTAGGAAATCACTACTTGCGAAACAGGAACCATATGTTCGTTGTTGATCAGGTGGCTGTTGATCCGTTCGCCGAGCTTGGCATTGGTTTGCAAACGTTTCGTCACCACACGAGGAGACATCATCAGTGCGCAGTTGGATGCGCACCCACCCAACAACTAACAAACTCACCCGAGCTAGTAATATTTCAACACATTACCAGGAACCATGTGTGGCGAGACTTGGGCGGGCAGAAACGTTTCCACAACGCTTAAAACGAGACCCGAGTATATATAACTTGAGTACAAATACCTATTTGGTGTGGACTAGAACGAACGAACTTCCGCGTGTCGCACGGATGTTCTGCCAAATGAGATACCCATGATCCTTTACAGAAAGAATTTAAACACCGCATGTGACTGGTCATATCTCTGTTGGGAGGAATAAAAATTAATTCCTGTTAGAGCAGGTAGCAAGATCCAGGTGTTCAGTTTGAGCCCAAGCGTGTTTTCTTGAAAATGTGATATGTACTTGGACCCCACCCATCATTATTTACAAAAGTCCCTTATGGTCTATAGCAAGTTGCACCAAAGCGTTTTGGGGAGCTGGACGTTATCAAAATTTGACCGCTTCATCTGTACTTGTGCCGTGATGATGGTATTATTCAGTATTTTGTGTCAAACCTACTCCAACACTCTCATTCTGTTGGTGCTATCCGCAATCAGATCCCCACGTGATGCTGTGACCGCCAGTTTTGCCAAGTGGCCTTGATTGTTTAAATTTTCTGGGCGTTCTGAGTAGTCTTTTTGTGCCTGCGTATTCCCTTACAATCACTGTCTTTGTCAGTAACAAAGGACAATTGGTCTCAGTGTCGGATTGATTGTCTTCTCTCGCTTGACTCTGCGCGCGTAGATCGGTCCCGTTCTAGTGCCAATTCGGGATGGTTACGACACACGAATTATAGACCAATATCACATAACATCACCCAAGAGACACGATGATAGCTCTGACAGGCGTTTAATCTTATTCGCCTGGGCAGGTGTGTGGTAAATCACATGTAAATTTAGGCAAATGCGCCTGACGAGGTATAATGTCCCCGGTAGCTCAGTCCGTGCGATAGGTTTTTGGTCCGACTCCTCCCTCTCCTATTTGTACCTTCTTGCCCATGATTCCATGTCGAAATTTCAGACCGACCGATTGCGCTAATTGGTTCAATTCCAGTTTGCAGAAATTCGGTGATTGAACGGTCACAACTAGCACAATAAGAGGCATTCTTTGGGGAATGGCGATACTTTGTTGCACTCATTAGCCTACTACAAAGGAGTTGATATAAGGCTCAAATGAGTGCCTCGTTCATACTGTCTTTTCCATTTGCCGTGTTTGAGTTTTTAATCTACATATGTTCAGTTTATTGTTCACTTGCAAAATAAGACTGGAAATTTCGGCACCATTCCTGAATGATGAACCTCAATGGTTTTGGGAACCGGTCATCTGACTAGTCACTTGCATCAGTAGCTAGGCCCTTATTCTGAGGAGCAGAGAAGCATCGTTGTTGGGAATCATCAGCAGTTCGCATTCCAAGAGACTTGGAGAGTTCCGCACCCATGATCTTCCGGCCGGCGGTTGAATAATTAACCCTCCGGCCACGAGTGGCTGATCAAAAGTGTGATTATCCCTCACTTAGACAGGGCAATGCACCAATCATCCTTCAGTCGCGGAAGCCATATCATGTGGTCATGTACTGACTGGCTCCTCTAGCGGCGATATCTCGAAAGGAAGTTCCACTCATATAGCGAAAATATTCTGCCTCTGAGCTACTGCTAACGAGGCCCAACAAGGATGGGACAGCTGAACAGTGCTTCTCGGCTTTTCAGCATACATTAGCCTCTTTACTGAAAATAACCAAATCTACTCACGTCACCATCAATTTTGACTATTGGTTTGCTTCATTCCAATCAGTTCGGTGACAACTAGAAAACGAGATTGTAGGGAGCAGTGTTTTTCGCTAGTCACACCAATATGGCTGGGGAGACTTTATTGCACTAGACTTAGTAGAAAACGAAGGGTTTGCATTGAAATGTCGTGCATTTGGAATGCTTGCCGGATGTAGACCTTCTGAGCCAGCATTGCGCTGCCCCCCAAGAGACTACACTCCTGAAAAGAGGACGAAACCTTTATAAGTCTTAAATTTCTACGAGGGAGAGGGTATTTTCAAGAGATGATTAAAAAAAGAGGAGAAAATCCTGCTAGATCTAACGGACAAGCGCGTGTTACACATATGACAGCCTTCAATGAAAGTGAACTAGAGCAATTACTCAGGAATCTCAATAATGGACGTGTGGTTGGTCCTCGGAGCCACTCTATCGGTTACACACAACGATTCATATCACTGCAACACCTTCATCTATCATCCATCATTTCAAGCAGTAATAGGTAATGATCAGCAACGACTGGATTCGTTCGACCAACTGAAAATGAACTTCAGGATGTTCACGGTAAAACCACTAAGCAGCGTCTTTGAATAGAAGAGGACGAGAGTGACGTACTTCAGCTCACACTGTTGTAGTTTAACGACACCAGTCAAGGTTTTTTGCTGGCACAACATAATCAAGTGCACTTTCAGCCTCACCTTTACAACCTGGCCGAGCAACTGCTATGGCTGAAAGGATACACAACTTGTCCTGTCAAAGGGCTTGCCGAGAGTTGTCGCAACAAAGAATTGAAAGCTTTGGTACCAGTGAAATCAAGGTGTACACCAACATCAACAAAGAGGACGTATTTCAACAATCGAAACTGGAAGGCTCTAAGATCGGAAGGAAACTAAATAAAATATAAAGACCAGCCGGTACCCGAAGTCAACTAAATGAGAGTTCAAGCCTATTTTCTCAACCATTTCGTTCCACAGATATCCCTTTTACGATAAATCCTATCCTGCCAACTATCAGCAGCTAAGCTATTGGTGCAAAAAACCTAGGGATACATTTTTCACTCAAGAAAATTAGGGAACTCATGTTTTTCATTTCATTTATCCACACTCACTGGGGATGAAAAAAAGTGCGCTCCTGTGAAGAGTGCGGCTTTTGGCGGTGCAAAAGATAGAGAGTATACTTTAGGATGTACGTGTGCTCTACTACTAGAATAAAAGGTAAACAATTGACAGCATTTCTGAAGAGTCAACTACTCACATGACCAGTGCAATTTAGTAACCGAAAGAGAGTTAGCATTATTCACACAAAGCATAAAGTTATACTATCAAGCCTACCGATGCATGCTGTTTCAGAGCTCGCTCTTGGAAGTACAGGGCACGCACAAAATCTCCTTTCCAGCAGTAGAAGATACTGAGTTCCTCCGAGAAACGGACCTAAAGAGAAGGACACAATGTAATCTCAAAAGTGGTATGTGTGTGTGTGTGTAGGCAATCAATATTTAACGGGAAGGGGGAGGTTTGAAATGACAGGCCTAATTTCACACCAGGTTGATGATGCTGAAGGATATTAGCTTCTCGACTGCTAGTGGATTGGGGCAGCACACCTGAGCAGCCCTTTACTGGTTTGCGGAACGGGCCAATTTCACAACGACATATTCACTAAAACGTACTTCAAATAGGGATCGCACGTTGTCGTGTTCCAACGCAGACTCAACAAAATCACACAAGTCCATGTTAGCTGCCTCCAAACTGGACGGTCCAGATGCTTCTTCATATTGGGATTGAACCATGGCGTCCTGAAGGCGTTTGAGACGAGCTCGAAACAGTAGGGGCAACAGGGTTTCCACGACAGAAGAGTCGTTGTGTAGGTGTGCTGTGAGTCAAACAGTACGAAATAATGTTCGCTAACCACCAACGAGGGTTAAGTGACTGCATCAGGAATAAACGTTTATCCTTTGTATGGCTATGAATGACTTAAAAATCGCACCAATGGCCGTCTACATCCCACATTTTGTTGTTTATTTGCTACTCGAAACTAATCAACACATTAATTGATAATGATAACAATAATTAGTAACTTCCATTCTGATGTGAATGAAATTCTTCTTAATCCCATGATATAATGTTTTTATGTGTTATTGATTTTCACGTATTCTCTGCGTTTATGCACACGCTATAACTTGATCTGCCCACACGGTGGCCTGCTCATTCTTGTATCCATCTCTTTTGCCTGGCCCTTCCCGGGTAGTTGGAAAGGCCACTTATTCAGAGTTCCAAAGTTAACTGTCCAGTTGGCCAGCCAACATCTCACCTGAGTGGGCTGCATCTTGTTCAGGCTAGTGCGTTACCAAAGCATTGATTCTTAGCTTGTCGCAATTCCTCGCCACAGTATGCGGTTTGTCTGGTCATTCTGTTTGACTTCACGAATGCGAACAAAGAAGGTTCGTTGTCTTCAACCTGATTTTGTGCGATCCACATCTTGGCTTTAGTATCTGGGATCAATTGGCAATGCGTAGATCAACGTTCCGCTAAATGAGCGTCGCAAGAGGCCGGTGCGAACCATGGAGTAGCAATGCTCACCAACTTTCTGAGATGCTTGCCAGCCTATGCAACAGAAGCTTCGTCAGGTCAAGTGACTAAGTTCCGAGGTTGGTCGGAAGGAGAACAAATCAGCTAAGGCAAACTAAATCTCTGTTGGGCGTCGGCCGAGGGATTTTTAGTGTGCTAGAGTGGTTGAACAAGTGTTGGGGCGGTGGGGAACCTACATGTGTTTGGGTGCATCCTAGGGTCTAGTTCTTCTGGTTCGGTTCATTTGATGGTCCCTCTTGAACTTCGCTTGAACCTTCTGTCAGTCTGTGTGGGTGAGTTAGTGCTAAGATAGTTGTGTAAGAGAGATGCTGTGACCTTTGGTCGGTTGGGGTTTCCACCCCCCACCCCCCTTTTTTTCTAATGTTAGATTGACTTCGACTGTCCCTGGAACTACAGCTGGTTCAGTGACGTAGGCTTCTAACCTAAGGGTGTGCAGTTTAGTTTCACTGTTCGATCACCTCCGCCTACGCTAGACCAGTTTTCGGTTGCACAATGGCTATGCACCGAACTGACAATTAGACGAAACAGTTTGATTTGATTAGGTGTACTATGGCTGAGTTAGAAAGCAACACAACGTTTGAGAGCACTTACGCCATACGGAAGAGAACGATACATTGTGCAGTTGTTGTGACCCAGCTGATGTGTCCATAGTAAGCGATTTCAAACCACGCGATGTTAGCACATCCAGGTCATCCCAGCTAGCCATGCGCTCTAAGCAGGCCATCAGTCCGTCTTGACATATCGCTTGCAGTCCGGGCTCCAGCGTATCCGGGCAGGTGGTCCAAAGGTGAGGTGTTTCTAGTATCTTATGGAAAATAGTCGATCAAAACTGTGTGAAGAATGGGCAACATACAGTCTGGTGAAACATAAGCACCCAACACAACTCACTTGTTCGAAAGCCAGGCGAGCGTTCGTGTAATTAAGCTCGGATATGGTAACCAACGCCTCACCAATGAGTGGGAATAGTTGGCTATCGATACTCCAACGGTCTAGAAGCCAACCGAGAACTTCTTCAAATCGGCCGATCGATCGATAAAGTCTGGTCAGATCCCACCACACTGTGGATGCTTCTAGAGATTGATCGGATGCCTGGGAAGATTGCATCAGCAAATTTTGAAAAGGTTGCGGAAAATAAACAAGCTCTGGTGGGTCACTCCATGAAGGGGCATTCACACAGGTCAAGCGTGTGTTAGGTATGCTAAAAAATGTGGAGAACCAAACATGTTCGGTTAGATGGAAGTGTAAATGGTTGTTTGCGACAGGAATCGAAATCAATCAGTTTCAACATGGAGAGACGGAGGCTCTGGCTGAGAGTATCACTGACACATCTAGCACTGTTACACAAATCCGCCTCACTCATTGCGGCCTACTGAGAACTCTGTGCCAACTCAGGGACAAAGATTAGCTGTGAGTTGTCGAAACTTACCGTTGACGGAGTGCCAAATTGAACGCTTCTTCAAGCAGCACAATTGCAACCGGCTCGCTCTTCGTTAAAACAGCAGAAGTGGCAACAGTTGATGAATCCAAGGACAGCGGCATTGGAGTTGTTGGTATGGCTCTTATAGAATGGATTTCTACCAGTTTTGACAACAGCACTAGGCACGCTGTGGTTACGTCGTGCAACGCAGAATCCGTGGTGGAGATGGCCGCCAATCGGCAAGTTAGACGGAGTATATCATGAAGCGACTCGGCGAAGCGGTTTAAGGTGCTGTTCGTAATCTCTGTCTGAGAAGACACTGATTGTAGGAGAACACAATAAAGATTGACAAAAACAGTGGCTGCTGCTGACGGCTGTGCAGCGGACAGTCGCTGAAGTGGGTCCAACAGTGAGGCTGGACTGATGCTTTCCACATCGGGTAATGGTCCTGTACGGTATTTGGCGGTCAATGTGGTCTGTAGGTGCGGGTCCAATGTGTGTGTGGGAGATGCCCGTTGAAACAGGCGAAATTCAGCCCGTTGACGAGCGATAGCTCGTTCGCGAAAAATGTTGCGTTCCTTTTTACCGTGCTCCTTTGTGAAGTCCCCGGTATGATTGGCGTTGGTCGACTCTCTCCAGTTCAGTTGGTTCCGAAGTCGCTGAATCCGCAGCTCGTAAGGTGTAGGCTATGAAATGAGTGGAAAGGATGAAACTATATCATGTAAGGTTAGAACATGAAACAGAAACCAGTCAAACTATATATTCCGACGAGTATACAGACAACTAAAAGAGTGGGAAAGTAAATCAGGCCACTACAACTGAATCCATGAGGGAATTTGAAGAATGTGCTAGAAGTAGCACAGAAAATCTGAGAGAGAATGCTAGACAGAAAGGATTGTGCAGCTTCTCTGCAGGAGATGTACTCTACCTTCAGGGGAGGTGCACTCTGTGGAGAACACTGAATGGATTCCATTAAGTAACTTCACAGAGGAATCTCTTGGGAGATAACAGTATTCAGTTCGGCGGTCTGTGGTAGTGTGCATATTGTGGTGCTCCCAGTTCGTCAGGGAAGAGCGCAACAGTTTAGTGATAAAACCTGTGTGTTTGATCTAGCATCGTGACAGCAGTCCGACGTTTTTTGAGGATAAGCCGCCATACATGCTCCACTCTCCACAGAACATCACCAGCAGTGAGCTGTAACTGGGATCCCTCTATTTACCTGCTGAAAATTAAGAAGTCGTTCTTCAGGGACACTGTAGTTTAACCGTGCATCAGTATCGGTTAGAAAATCAGTTGCAGTCACACCAATTGCTGCTCCCCATTTGTTATCTTCTTTTTTAGTCAGCCGTAAACCCCACTGCTTTCAACCTACAGTTCTCAAGTCAGCACGCACTCCCCTATCGTTACGTTTGGATGTGTTCTGTTATTGGTTATTCTCCACTCAAATACCTGAACTGTAACCAGTTGAGTTGGGTTGCGAAACTATGAAATCAATAGCAAAAATGTGATTTAAAAAAATACCGTCTGCTGACCGAAGAAGTAACGTGTGTTGGAGACTTGTGAGAATGAGAGAAAGCCCACGCTGATCGAGGTTATCAGCATCTAAGCAACGAGCTATGAAACCACAGGAATAATACTCGCGTGGATACTCAATTGGAAAATGTTTGGGACCGATTGGGAAGTCATCGTTTCAGAGGGGTTTGGTAAACAATCGGTGGATTGTTTACCAAACCCCTCTGATGCTCGCGTGGATACTTTCTAAAATCAGGAGAAAAGAGAACGGACAAAGGTACTTACCGTGGCTTCAGTCAAGCTTTCAGAAGGCGTTTGGGGAGCCTGCGATACGGATGGAAACGCAACAGAGTTCAAGTATGTTGGTTCTTCTGTTCGGGCTTTCTTATTGACTGGTTGTGTCATTTGTTGGCTGGCCTCAATAGTCAGTGTTCCAGCTGTAAGAGTTTTTGACTGAGTTACAATTCGGGTAAACGCAAATGTTTTGTCCGCTCGGGTAGTGGTTGTAAACGCTGTCTGAGTAGCAAAAGGTGCAAGACTTGCAATTGTTGGATCCGAAGTCATTAAATTGACGGAGTTATAAGCGGAGAGGCTGTAAGTGGAAGAATGCATTGGCGGGAGGTCATCGAATTCATATCACCAGGATGGTTGACAACATGTATATCACGAGAATGACTTCACCAGATGCTGGTAGCAAATGTTCCAGCCTCGTAATGCAAACCAGGCTTTGCGACTTCATAAACGTTCTAAGTTAAGCGACACAATTCGGCAATCAAGACGTACTTTAAATCCTGGAAACTGATGCTTGGATCCAGTGGCCGATCGAAGAACACCTGTTGATACTCAGCAGTAAGAGTTGCTCGTTCAAGTGTCAGCGCATTGATTGTATAGAGTAGTTGGGGAAACATCTGCAAAACTAAGCTTTGTGTCCAGTCCCAAATTGACTCTGGTAGACCGTCCCATAGGTTTGTCAAAGACCCGAAGTCGGCCAGTATGTGTATAGCCCGATCAATGGTGGTTGAGGGCAAACAACGATCATCTACGAATCGTCTGATGTTGGACGCCAGTTCCAAATCTGTTTCCACCGTCAATCCGTAGAGAAGACCAAACTTGGCCAAATGCTATTAGTAAAGAGACACAGAGAGTTGTATTCACTGTATTTTTTTGTCAACGGAGCACGTATTTCCAGATGGTCTTCACTTACCATACCAATAGCTGGTTCCAATTCGGCTCTAAACTCCCATACGGTTATGCATATCTGATAAAAAGCCTCGCGGACATCACGCGGAGCGTTCAAACTAAAACACTTGACCGCAGAGGATAGAACTGATTGTATCTGGTACCGGTAAGGAGTGATCGTCGAGGAGTTGATTATTGCCTGTTTCGGAAGGCCCTTTGAATAACTGACCACAGTTCTGATCCATTGTTTTCCCACCTCTAGCCCAAGTTTCACAGTATCGGATGATCTACAGAGTTGAATTGAAGGTAGTGGAGGTAAGTAAATAAGATCACTCAGGAATGTACTAAAAACATGCCAAAAAGTGCTTGATTCAATCTGTCATTTGTTATTCCGTGGTATATTGGATAGACAGGACCCGAAACACCATCACAAAAGAATTGCAAACTGGACAGAGTGGGCTGTACAACAGCATCAGGTTAGGCAGACAGCCTGACGCCATTAAACTCATTTACAAAAGACAGCCACACATAGATTTCCCTCCGAAACATCCCGATTACCCATCATCTCCTGGTAAGATCTTTTTATTTGAGAAACTGAAATATGTAACCGATTTTTCAGCCAGAATGGGCCGGAGATGTCGAGCACAAATCATCCAAGAATCGTATTCGGAGCAACTGACAGACGGTTTCGACTTGCGATCCGAAACATCGTTCAAGAGTGGGGCTCACCGATTAGAAGAGTATATAGGGAAATGTACAAATTCCACACACTATGTTGTCCAGACAGGCAATATTGATCAACAATCACTGAGCCGGATAGATCTCAACAGAGTACATGTAGCAACGAATTAAATTTAGTGTGGAACAGAACTATGCATATCGCGTTGTACAAAAGGAAAACAATAAACTAACTTCAGGCTCAGTTGTTCGAAGAAGTTTTGCGGCCTACTCGTCGAATCTTGATGCGTTGTGTCAGTTGAAAACAAACACTGGGTAAGCGATGCCACCATAGTGGAAGAGACCTCAACCGAATCGGCCATGAACTGCTTTAGTAGATTCAGGTATGCATTCAAAGTGGAGCCAGAGAGCTGGTTTAGCTGGAAAGCTACGCTAGCCACCTGTATCAAATGAGTTTGAAGGGCGATGTAGCTCAAAGCTGCTCGGCAGGCAAGCTCCAAACTTAGACTTTGGTGGGCGTTGAACGTCGAAGATGTTGACGACTGGCCTAAACAAGTTATTCTATCATGAATATTTCTTTCCATACTGTCCAGAGTTGGTAAAGACTGTGAATTGATTCCAGTTGCCAAGCTGGCTTGCGATGTTGTCGAAGTCTTCCCCTTGTGCAATAGCAGTGCTGCTGCCAAAAGAGCACTATTCCGTACTGAGTGGTTTTCGTGATCCAGTAAAGGGATAAGCAAACCGGCCATCCTTTAAGCGGTAAAAAAGGGATTTTGAAATCAGCATAAGCGGACAGATTGAACACTGATAGATTTGACTCTTAGATGTTACATTCTGTGGTGCTTTCGAGCCAATTTAACTGAAAGGGAAAACATCAACAGTTCTGTCTATTACTATGTGTGGTAATTTTGCCGATCGATAGGTTTCTTGAGTAGTTTTATCACAGTTCATGCTTCAATACACAAAATCCTCAATACTTCCAACTGTCGCGTTTGAAATACCAGACCGAACAAATTTTCGTAAAGCGGATGTGTTGGAAATGGGTTAATTGCTGTGATTTGTTTCTCGAAAATAAGGATGGTACGTTTCGGTTACAGAGGTGCTGCAGTTCATTTGGGCTAATACAAACGCTTTGTCGACAGCCAGGTTGGTAAACACAGATCACCATCCTATCCTTCACCCGTGTTATTTGCGGAAATCGATCATGAGGAACTTGCCTCCCCAGTATAGCTCAATGGGTCACGGAGACACACAAGCCGTCACACTGTGGTAAGATTCACTCTCTTCGTGGCGGATATGTGGATACATACTTATATGGAAACAGACCAAAGAAGCGGCTACCATGTAGCTGCTCCGGAATCATGCAGCTCAGTCACAGCATGGCTAAAAATTAGTCGTATGATGGAATAAATAACTTTGAAAACGACAAAACTATAATAACGAGTTCCAAACTGAAAGAGGCAAAATCGATTAAATCTATCCTCTACACCAGCACTTTTGACTCAATATACCATGATGGCGACTGTTAAGAGCGTACTTGTCAAGTGAAAAATTCATCTGTGGTTGGTCGAAGCTCATCTTGGAGCGCAACATGGAGGTTGTCAAATCCAAGGTTACTAGGAGTTGTTTCGTCGAGACATCGGTCCGGCAAAGCGCATCGTGAACAGCTCTGTGAAAAAAGTTTAAGAAAGAAATCAATGCCATCGTTGAAAGAGTAAAGGTGGGGTCCAAACGTTCAAACGTTTACAATCTTACAATGGTTGGAGGGTTTGTGAGATCTATGGTTATAAGAGGTGCACATCCCATTTCGAATGGACGGGAAAAGAACGCCAAAATTAGTCCTGAGTGAGAAGTGATGGAAGTACTGAAAGTGACTATTTTAAGGCTCTCCTTCATAGAGTAATACCCTATATGGAAATCGATAACAAAACCCCACTTGAGTAGGTACGCGGCCAGCAAGCAACGATGGTAGTCGCTGCGTTGTTGACCAGGCAGCTGTATTGGTCACGTGTCCAGGATGGCTCAAATTGCATTTAGCGCCTCTCGGTAGATTATTCACGATGATTGAAGCCTAATTCGAATCCAAAAATGGGTTCTATAAAAAGGTTCAGTCGCTAGCACTCTAAATTTCATTATTCTACGAAAAACTGTGTCCAAAAAATGTTACAAAACGAGAGCATCTCAAATAGCGCTAGGAAAGCATACTAAGCGAATAATCCGCTACCAGAAATGTTAAATTCTTTCAAGCCCTATATGGTAACTTTTCAATGAGTTCGTAAGTCGCATGCGTATAAAATGAATATATGCTTTCATCACTCACTGACATGGAGGCTGTACTGTCTCTTCCCAACATTCTATCAACAACTTGAATAGTTCCGGGAGACCCGTTCGGGGTTCTGCCGATCGTGGTATTTGTTGTGAGGTAGCAGGATCCATGTGGGGCTCACGGTTCCCGCACAAGTGTTCAAACAGCATGCCCAACAGCTGTGTGGCCAGATCACGCTCAGTCGGTGTTTGGGGGATGGTTGGATTCGAATAGGAAGGATCAGCCCAACGTGCCAGCATTAGACAGATATCCGTGAACAGTGTTGTGAACGTCCTGGCAGGGACATTGCACATCACAACCCCGGTGAGGTTAGATGACAGGAATTGTAACAAGACCTGTAACCATGTGCGACCGTACGGCTGAAACACCTGGATAGAGAGAGACAATAGGGTAGAAATGACAAAATGGCTCTGTTCAATGTACACATGGTAACTGCGGACAAAACTAAACTAATTCTAATAATAAATCTTGGTTGAAATGTTAGTAACACTGCAGTCGGAGCGGTTTGGCTACCAAATGTGTTGCGCTACTAATTGTGCATTGCAGAAAAACAGCAATTAAAGGATCGAATTGTCTAGTAGTACAATTCGTGCGACGTATGGCTACCTGCAACTCGATATAAGTGCACAAGCAGAAATATTGACAGGATGCTCAAAATGAAGAGGACCAGGACAATCAAAGATGATTTCGAGCAGAAGACATCTTAATAGCTAGCTTGCATCACAAGCTCCCGCTTCGTAACATACCCTTATCCACTAAGATATTCTCCCGGTATGTCCCAGGGAACCCTTTGTAAGAAACGATTTAGAAGGATTACCACTTAAGGTATCATCGTCCTCATAACATATTTCAAGGAGAATAGAGAAACAGAAAAGTAATTTTCAGTGGTTCAATACTACGGTGTTTTAAAATGCAACCTTCGTGACCATCATTTCTCTAGGAGCTGCGTTACCTAACTCAGCAGGGGAAGCTAGCGGGATTGGAGATAAACGACTTCCAAAACCTCTTTCCGTGATCGCATTCGCATCAGTCTGATTACCCATGAAAGGAAGAGAAGAGT